CTCAACTCTTGTCTCTTCTTTCAAAGACGTTCTGATTTTAGAGCTCTGGCTTAAAAGCTTCAGACCTTGAGCTGAGACACATTATCAGATGGAAGATAGAAGGAAGAGGTGGCTTCAGGTTGCTGCGTTTATTGCTGCGTTGCTGGTCTCTGGCTCACTGTCTTGCTGTTTCTGCTCACTGTCTCCAGGTACATAGTCACGAGGAGTAATTAATGTATGTTTTTAGAAGAGGCAATCCCAAGAAAGAAATACACTTTGCCCAAAGCAGCAGATAATCTTAGAGAAAGTGTATGGTGAAACCAACCAACCATCCTAGCCCTACACAAGCTCTTGTAGACAGTTAAAGACAAAACCATGCCATCACCAGAGACAGTTCTTCACAAAAAAGACTCTGCTCTCTCAGTCCTAGTCCTCAGTGCAGAGCACAGAACACCTTTGAAAGACAAGATTATGGACTGCAATTTATAACTTAATACTAACAATCAGGGACTCAGCAGAAATGGTCTTTAAAGGCACATTGCAATTTTCAATATTCTCTGTTCCAAGCTAAATATTTGTGGTCTCACAGGTAGTAATTACCTGTTGTGCCTTGTGTCCTGCAGAGGGTAATCCTCTCGCTCTGTCTTTGGTAGCATCCTGCCTCTGTCCAACCACTCCTGCCTTTCCAAAGCAAACAGGTAGAATCACACTGTGTGGGATGACAGGATTCTGTGGCCTGGTAACAGCCACCTCTTTGCTCCTTCAGGTTTTATCAGCAGTAACAGGGTTTTAGTTACGGGCCTTTTCCAAGAGCTCTGAATACCCCTGAGCTGCTCTTTTTAAACCTCCTGGGGAACTCTGTGTCTTGACTTTGGTATCACACACAGCATTAAATGTGCTGCTGTAAATTAATTCTTGTCCCTTCATCAAGACCTTTCATGGACAGACCCTCTTGTTCCCTCCTTCTTCTCCTACCTCCACTATAATGGGAACATGTCCCTTTGAGCCATTTCTTGTCTTTAAACCTCATTAATTTTTCCCTTTTCTTTAGCTGATGGCAGTTCATCACTGCAAAATAACATGCTATAGTGACTCTGAGGGGCACTACAAAAAATACTTGAGGCTCACTTCAGAAGCAATGGCAGAGTGACAGCAAAGGTGAATGAGGGGGCTCAAGGGAGCTGATACCTCCCCTGCTTAGTCTCATCCAGGATCTTCAGCAGTTAATGGCTGAGCAGGTTTCTTGCAGCTAACTTCTCAGCCATGAAGCAGCACTCAGCTCAGCTTGGTGCCTCTGCAGTGTTCCTGGTATTCACCTCCACTTTCCCACCCCTCTTTATTTGGCCTCCTTGAATTCATGGCCAGGAACCACCCCTGTTTCTTAGGAGTAAATCATGCCGTGTGATTGAAGCTGACTTCTTTGGGAGCCAAGCCAGCACACAGTGGCCACAAAACAACCACAAACTGGCTTTGCTGCTGCTGGTTACAAACAGTGCCTGGAGCTGACTTGACTTGGATGCTTTCTGGCTTCCATCCATGGCTTTCTGACCTGACCAGAGGAGCAGAACGCTTAAGCCATATAAGTGCAAGGCAGGGGTTGTATTTTGGGTTATTTCAGATTATCAAACTCTCAATCTTTGTATCTGGCATAATCATTGTTTTATTGTCTGTGTCCTCTTTTAGCTAGAAGCACACTCTGGAAGTGGACAGAAGCGTGGCGAATCCAGCTCTTGCTATTGAATTCCTTCCCAAATGAGGCTAAATTCTACCTTAAAGGGTTTTGAATACCACAAAGATGGAAAGAGTTTAGATAATTGTAAGAATTATATAAAAGCAAAGCCCCTGCCTTGGCAATCGACTTTAACTACTAGTAAAGCTATAACTAGGGCCTTGACTTTTTGACCTTTTTGAATTTGTGGAAAAGAAAGTTGAATGATGGAACCACAATTCATAAGTATCTGCTTTGCCTGTTGGATCAAACAGAAAAACATCTAATAAGCTCCACTGACATGGAGCTTGCAATGCAGAAATTTTTAGACGAGATAGTAATGTCAGGAAGATGTTAATCAGTAAATGAGGACTGAAAATCTATACCTGCTCGTGAAGTGAGTAATTCTGGATGATGCTCAGTTACTAGGTTCTAATGCCGCCTGCAGGATTTTAGTGACAGCACAAACAATATGAGCGGTGCAGTTTGAACTGGAGTGTTTATTCATATGGGAAGTGAGTGTTTAGTCCTTCTGTTCCCATTTATCAGAGCCCAGTGACAGGATGTGATTTCATATCGTGATCTGTTGTGCGCACTGGAAATTTTGAGAAATGAACGGATCTGTCTGCAAGATTATTCAAATAAGCACTGCTGGGAACTTGTGCTCTCCTGTTTCTCCCTGGTTTAGCTGTGCATTTCAGAAGTACATGAAATGCATCCTGGCTGTTAAGCCAAAACTAAGACTGATATCTGCCTATAGGGTTAGTCTTCATCACTGGGACAGGACTGGACCCTTGGAAAAAGAAATAGTTGCACCTGTTTTGCTGAATATTCCATGATACACTCCTGGTGAGGAGTTCTTCCCATCATGAAGGCACTAAAATTGTCTTTGAGAATCAATGGGGCTTATGATAGTAAACTTGACATTTCTGAGTTTGTGGCTGGATCCCACCATCATATTCAATGAGCAAAGAAGAGAAGCAGTGACTTCAGATGCTACTGGCAGGCTGCACATCCACAGCCAACAGCAAGGCTCTGAAGGCTGGGAAAAGGATGTTATTGCTGTTGTTTCCAAGTCATCTTTTTGAGATTCAGCTGACTTCAGTGCAATCTGCTTGGGACTCCTCATGGGGTTAGGAGGAAGTTAATGAGCAGCCTGGTCAGCCTGTCTGGGGACCTCTGAAGGTGGTGTTCACCTTCAGGAGCTATACAGGGTTTGGCCACGTTGGATAGAAGATTGTCAGGAGCTGAACTGGACGTGTCCTTTTTCTGCAACTAGTCTAAGGTTGAGTCTGACGTCTTGGTCGGCTAGCTCTTTGGTACTGCTTCTGTCATTCTGCATGGTGGTGTTGGGGGACTGTTTGAAGACTGTGGAAGACTGGGAAATCAAACCCCAGATTTTTCCTATTGCTTTAAGTCTGTCTGAGGTTTGTAAACCTTGGAGGCTGTGAAGCTGCACTGTTACCCTAGAACCAGCTAAGGAAAGGTGGAGGGGTCTTGGCAGGAATAGGTTTAGGTTGGTCCATCACCATGCTAGCAGTAGGGCCAGGGGCTGTCAGCAGCCCTTCCAGTGAGGAATATGGTAAGGGAGGAAAGGAGTTGGACCAAAAAGGTGTTAAAACATCACCGATCCTCATACGCAATATGGTTGGGAAATATTATTGTAAAATAGCTCAACCTGTAGGTAAAACAACACATAGGGTCAAAACAGGTTTAATACCGTGACTAGTCTACTGACTAGTATACCAAAGCTGTTGGGTGCCTTCCCTTTGATAATCTAAACAACCATTTTAGGTATTGAGAATGACAAACACATTTTGAGGTACAGACTAACAGTCTTTAACTCCCCCTTTCTCTAGCTAACCACATTTAGTAAAAGTCTGCTTTTTCCTAACAGTCCTTGAGTATGCTGACTTCTCAGCATAATGTAAAGTTGTCTTGTGATGACCCAGTTAGAAATCTGGGCACCTCCACTGTTAATTTGGGCAATAAATTTAATTAAAAGCAAATATTTAAATTCAGAAATAGGATATGAGGTTGACACTGGCATTTGTCATCAAAGTCTTGGTTTGTCCCTGCTTTAACAGAAAGCCATTTAGATCTGCAAAGGATGTAGGATCTTCTTTAGGACACAGAACTAGGCTCTGCTCTGCCACAACAGTCTACCTGCCACCTCAGTAGAAGTATGTACCATCTTGACAGAGATGTGAAAGTGAGACTGAAGGGAAGGTCAATTGTCCAAGGACATGTTTCAAAGTAGAAGTTACCCATGAGTAGAGTGGGAGCCAAAACCCTGCCACTGGTAAATTCACTGTATTCTGTTAGAGAAGAATCGCTGGCCGGTATTGCTGGAAGTAGGGGTTCAGACTGACTGAAAGAGTGAAACTCCAGATGGAAGATCAAAGACTTGACTATTAGCTGTGCCAAATTCCTGTCAGATTTCTCTTGTAGATCAAAGGACCCCTTAAAAAGGGAGGAGCTGATTCCCCTGGAAATATCCTCTGCTCAGTACTGGCCTTTCGTGTATGTCCCAGCTTAGGGGTGAGACCTGGACCTCTGGAATATGGCACAGATGTGCCCCTTGAAGCTTTCTGCTCTGGAAGGAAGCAGCCTTGGGGTTGCTTTAACATACACTTGGGGCTCAGCAGGTCCCACAGAGTTCCCCAGTGTGGGATGCATAATAAATAGGCTTAAATTAAAAGGGGCTTAAACCCTTCCCACCTAAGTGCTGCAAGGGTATAACAGATATTTGCATGCCCAAATTCAATAAACAACCACACCACTGGTCACCACAAAAATGACCAGCATGTGTGGGAGAAATTAGTATTCTCTAACCATCCTATTTATTCTCGCCTGCTAATAATTTTCTTCATATGATTGATTTTGAGCATTGTTCATGACAAATACATAAGCAGCAATTTGCAAAATGGCTGCTAAAAAATGTAAAAGCTCTTCAGCTTCCGTGAGTCAGTAGAGGGGTCAGACCCATAACAGGTCTGCATAAACAGACAGACGTTTTTCATTAAAATAGAACTTCCCAAAAGAACTGATTATCCAAAGGAAGCTATTCTTTCACTTTTGCTCTTTTTCTTGCTCTTTCATATAGTGCAGTTTTTGGATTTATATGTATTTTACACAAGCAACTACAGAGAGAATGTAGCAACCAAGTGAAAGAAAAGGGAAGTCAAAAGTCATGTCTACAGCTGGATCTGGTTCTGGAAAACCTGTGAGAGAACAAGAGTCCTTCATCTATCAAATGAAGACACTACATAATGTAAGGCTTGGAAGTTTGTGTTAGCAAACTTAGACAAGGGACAGCATGCACAGTTTTTTACTGTAAGGTAAATCATTGTTGCATTAACTTCCCTTGAGTATGAGATCTCTGCTATTGCACAGTACTTTCAAGTTGGAGTACACATCTTCCTGAAAATGCTACTGTGGATGAAGTCCAAATTGTTGCTGTGGTGGCAGGAATCACGAAATGCAATTTTGTGCCCCCTGTTGCACCTGGGCGAGATGCTACTGGGATGTTGGATATCGTGGTCAGCAGTGGTCTCTTCACAGCCACGCTGATTGCTGGAGAAGGCTTGCAGGACACTGTAGCAGAGGAGTCTGTTAATTTTTAAGGCAGATAAAGGAAGTGGCTTTGCTTGCTTTTATGGAAAGTGCTTCCAAAAAGGAAGGGCATCGTGGAACAGCTGTCCTCCATGAAGCTACCTGATGGAAAGTTTAATAAGTGGTTGATACCATGCAAGAGATCTCAACATAGCAGCTGCAGAGTGTGAGAGGGAGGAATGTAGGAGGACTGGAGGAATAAAAAGCCCTAAGAATAGTCCATGCAGTCTCTCTGGGCCTTTCTCCCTCTTCTGAAAGCTTTCCCTTTCTGGCAAATGCTTCCACAGTAGCACTTAAATGATGCTTTGGTGCTTCTTAAATACACAGATGTCTATCCTGGATGGCGCTACTGTGGTTCTGCCTTGAAGGTCAGGCAACAGCTTCTGCTTTTGTGCAAATCTTGTGCTGATGAATGGGAGAACTGCTAATGTAAAGGTCAGAAAACAAACAGAATTAATCTGTGGCATCAAGCTGGCTGTACAAAACATGTTTTCCCAGTGTGAACACTGTACGGCTGGTGTGTCATGAAAGATGGACACTTCTCTCTTATCCCACTTGTAGAAAACGAAGATCTACATTTCTTACAAAGAAGTGAACTAGGATTTAGCTTTCTTAGGGAAGGATGACCAAACTGAATGATCACCTGTCATGATGACTTCTTGTTGACTGCTGCCTGAGACCAAGCGTTTCATAAATGTTGATGAGGCTTTACATCTACACAACTGTTCTCCCTCTCCAATTTAAGCTAGTATTTCTAGAAGTATCTTTGCAGACTGTTCTGGTTGCTGCTATTGTCCTGTTAGACACAGAAACCCACAGGCAAAAAGTTATTCGCCTATGACAGAGCACACTCTTGTAATCCTGTCCTATTTGAGCTCATAATGCTGAATTCGCTTCTGTTCCACCTGAGTCTTACATCCAGCTCTGCACTGGGTTCAGAGGTGACAGCAATGGGGCAAACATTCCTGACGTAGCATCTACAGGGCATTTCATTTTGGAGTGATGCATGCCACATCAAGAATGCAATTGGTCAATTGTCATTAAAGCAATTAAAAATACCTAAATTAGGAGATTAGCCCAAAAATTAGGTGCAGTGAATATCTCCCAAAGGATCTTTTCTCCTTGCAGCATGCAGATCTGTACATTTCATGGATAGGTGTGTCTTTTTCTTTCACATCTGTTGAAGTTCTGATGCCAGGCATTTAATTACAACAAATCAAACAACAGTTGATTTCTTTTGCAGGTCCTTTTATGGTATGTGAGGAAATGAAGTAGATTAATGGCTGTGTGAAATAAGGAAGGCTCAGTGGATCAAAGCTTGCTCTGGAAGGGATGACATATCCCCACCATCAGCCTCTGTGCTGCTGACTTGTTGCTTCAGTTTCTCCATGTGGAGATGGAGGAAAACATGAAGAATGAGGAAAGCATTCACTCATTTGGATAACTATTGAGATTAATGTTTCCAGTGGGTGTAAAAGGTGGTCAAGCCATCACATGTCCGATTGCTTGGCATCCCCACCCACATGTGTGCCAGTGAGTGGTCCAGGCAGCTGGACCCCATGAATTTCAAAGCCAAAGGGACCTGGGCAGCATCCGCTCACTGCTCTGTGTTTTGTTCTGTGACACTCATTTCCTGCATCATGACTCCTATTCTGAGCATCATCTCAGGGTATAAATTCTGACATGTGTTTGCCCAAGTCTCTGAGCAATCCTGAGCAATGGTGGCTCAGGATTTGTGTGTACTTCTGTTCTGTGAATCTTCATAATTATATCTTGTTTGCGGTTGCCTGGTTTCTTGTGTAACCCCTTGAGGGATTATGTGCCTAGAAGGCACAAACGCAAGCTTTGCAAAGGGAATTTTTAACTATGTTTGCTTCATTGCTCCATACAACTTCAACTGGAGATATTCGCACAATACCCTGAGTCCTTAGATCCAAATGCATTAATCTGATCTTGCCCCCTTCACAGTCTGAAAGCCTCCCTGTGTACCAAATATAGCAGTCTTCCCCGCTGTCCTTCTCTGGCAAGCTCTTTTATACATGCAGATGCTGCCCTCCAGCTGTTTCATCAATCCTGTTGGACGTCCCATCTCCTCTTTCACATATGCCTGAGCTGAGCAGCTGGAGCTCATCCTTGCACCCAGCTTTTGGGTAGAGAATTCATGGATGGTGTCATGACTTAAGGTACTAAATGTTCCATGAGCATCTGTGACTGTGCAATGCCTTTCTCCTTGTGTTTGTTCAGAATGATAATCTTGATGTTAGCACCGTTTCTGGAGCTGATGCTCATTTCAGATGAAGTTCATGGACTGACTGCATTGTCTTCATCAACTTCTAAGCACAAATTACAAACCTAAGGAAGAAGGTGGAGAGGAATTACAATTCAATGCAAACTCATCCTGCTGTGTCACACAGCATGAGCTCTCTGCCAGACCCCCACTACCTGTCAGGATTGATATCAAGAAATGGCATGTCCCTAATCAGCCAATTCAGTTGCTATCACTAATTATTAAGAAACAGGGAGTGTCATGACTTACTGGCTTGAAAGCCCTGCAGTTTTGCAAAGCTGTTTTAATGCTCTGTGTTGCTACAGCACAGGAAAAAGGCAAAACCCCAGAATCAGTGTGATCTTGTTTCGTCTATCAAGGGCCCCTGTGATCACAGAGCATATTTCTCAGTCTGCTCAACATTTTCTGCGGGAAGAGCTGACATAAGTTGGCAAGGACAGCAAGCATCCACTCCTTCTCTAACCAGCATCGGGAGCAAATTCAAAGACTATTTGATAAAGTGAACCCACATATGATCATAGCACCCACCGGTGCTGTTTTGCATTCCTCCCCTTGGTGTTAACTACGGGCTGTGGTGTCAGGCAAAGAGAAGCCCATCCCTCACAGAAGCTGAACATGTTGCTAAGGCAGATCTATACGGATTCTTCCTTTCAGTGATGTAACTATATGCTTTCTCCAAGGTGAAAAGGGAGCTTATTGAACACATAATCTATTAGCCATATGTTCTCATTCATGCTGCGGTATCAAGATTAAATTGGTACCTGGTGTCTAAAACGGTGGATTTGGTGGAAGCAGAAAGCACTAAGTCCAACCATGTGGTGAGCTGCAAGACGAGGCAGAGTTAGCAGCATGCATGATGCATGCGTGAGTGCCTGTAATTTAATGGATGACTGCACAGAAATGTTTCCTGTGCAACTATATGGATGTCTCCTATGCCTCCAATCCAAAATTCTGATACCTTTCTTTTTTCAGGACCCTTTTTATACAATGGAAAGATGCTTCTTTCCACTATAATTTGCTTTGTGCTGCCACCTTTTTCTGCCACCTAAAACATAAAGCTTTACAGAAATGTGACTGCAGACCTGTTACAACTCAAGGACAGGTACAGAGAGAGGTTAGAGAAAAGGAACTGAGAAAGAACAGGTTTTTTTTTCCTTTGTTGGTTGCAGATAATTAGGTTCAGGAGGATGGAAGGTATCAGCCTCCCAGTATCTGAAGGGGGGCTATAAGGATACTGGGAAGGGACTATTCATTAGGGACTGTAGTGACAGGGCAAGCAGTAATGGGTTAAAACTTAAACAGGGGAAGTTTAGATTGGATATAAGGAAGAAGTTCTTTACTGTGAGGGTGGTGAGGCACTGGAATGGGTTGCCCAGGAAAGTTGTGAATGCTCCAGTCCCTGGGGGTGTTCAAGGCCAGGTTGGACAGAGCCTTGGGTGCCATGGTTTAGCGTGAGGTGCCCCTGCCCATGGCAGGGGGTTTGGAACTGGATGATCTTAAGGTCCTTTCCAGCCCTTACTATTCTATGATATGGTGACAAACTGGAGTTGCCCATCTAAGAGCCATTCCAGCCCGATGTTTCTTCATGTGCTCACTGTAATGAGCTGACTGGAGATAGAGTGTTCACAAAGGAGAGAAAGATACGATTCAGTCTTACTTCATCTTTGTCTCAACTCTCCTTGTGAACTTCCTGCCTGTGGAGGCAGCTGGTGTAGCTAGAGCAGGATGTGATATATTGGCAGCACCAAAAATTGAGAGGCTTGGGTTTGAGCAGAAGTTCAAGCCCTGCACTACAATGGCATCACTCTGACTGGCATAGTCACCCCTTTCTGTCTCTGGGAGAATTAGAAAGGATGCAAAACCATGATGTATATCCCACCCATGTTGCAGCCTAAGGTGGGGCAGGACAGTAATGATTCCTTCTGCATCACAGGCACCAAAAGAAATCCTTATCCCGATTTCAGCATCAGATTTTGGTTGAGATTTTCTATGTTTCTTATCAAGTCTTATATGTAACCTCAGAACACTTCCCCTTCTCCTCTGAAAGTTATGTACTTGGGTAGCTTCAGAGAGCAGTGGGCTGCTTGCCCACCTGCTTTGCCTTCCCCTGAATGCTGCTCTGACGTATTTGCATCCATGAAAATCCTAATTGCTTTAGGACAGTTGCATCCCAGCAGAGCATGCCTGCTTGGATGTTCCTGCATGATGCAGCTTCTTTGAGGGGTCTGGATTCTGGAGTCAGCCGCAAATTTCCTCACTGAAGGGTGTTGGGGAAGTGGATTCAGGGCCAGCAGAAGTGAGGGAGTAGCACTGTCCCAGGGAGGTAGAAGGGAGCCAGGGTGGAAGTGAACAACTCCGAGAGGTGCTTCCTTCCTGGGCCGGAGAGGGCAATGCTCCCTGATGCTGCGGCTGCCTCTTGGGGCATCGTTATGGTTTGAGGGGAAGACTGAGCCGCTCGGTGCTCTTTGGGGGGGGAAGCTGACTGTCTTTGCTGCCGGTACCCCAGGGACCCCGCACCGGGCGGTGCCACCGCCCTACCGGGGCGCCCCGGTTCGTGTGCCCGGCACCGATCTGAGGGTGGGGATCAGGAGAGGACCCGCGTGCCCCTCACCTGTCACGGCAGAGGTGGCACATCTGGGCGAAGCGCGGCACCGCTGCCCCCCCCTTCCGACCCTGGGGCGCAACAACTGTCTCCATGGCGACGGGGCGCGGCGGGGGGGCCGCGGTGCCGCCGCCCCGCCCCGCAGTATCGAGCCGCGGCGGAGCCGAGCGGAGGGCGGCGGAGCGGCGGGGCATGGGGCCCGGCGGGCGGCGAGCAGCAGCGGAGCTCTCGGCATCGGAGTGAGCGCTGCCGCCGCCACAGCCCCCGGGGAGAGACCTTGCGCTGTGCCGCCCGGCCCGGCTCGGATGCCACCATGGGGAGCCGCTTCTCCAGCATCCCCGCTCTGCCCCGCGGCGGCCAGGGCCGCCTGCACCGCGCCCGCCACCACCGCCTCAAAGGTACGGCTCTGCCGGCACCCCCGGCAGGACGGGCACCCCCCGCATCCCCGGCGGTATGAACACCCGCGGTACCCTGCGGCATCCATGTAGCCCAAATCGGGATGGGTGCTCTAGGCATCTCGCGGTGGGATGGGTACCCAGGCAGGGCACAAACCCTGGGCACCCCAGACCTCAAATTGGGATGAGACACCTAGGCACTCACAGCACCCTGAGCACCCCACGCTGGACGGGTATCCCGGGCACCTTGGGACAGGCTTGGTTCAGTGGGCACCTCGGAATGGGATGGTTCCATGACTGGCACCCTATGGCCTTTGGCTGTGTGGGCACTCCCGCCCTGCTCCCAGCCCTGCCTCTCCTTCCCCGACAATGCCCCATGGGTGGCTGATCGGTGCACAGGCTCCCCTGGCAGTGGTACCCCAGGATAGCAAGGGACAACAAGTCAGAGGAATTGGACCTCCAAAGAGTCCTCAAATGTTTCTTAGTGGACAAAAGCTTTGCTTTGGTGTCTTTTCTGGGTGCTCCAGGAATATATCTATGTGAGTGAGATGGTCAGCCTTCTTTGGAGGAGAGCAGGGGGTATTCAGGGCTCCTCGTCCAGCTTGTTCTGTTCTTTACAAGGATGAAATCCCTTTTCAGAAATGCTAGGGCACTGCTGGGATCAAATTGGATGGGGATCAAATTGTAAGGTGTGCAGGAGTGAGTTCCCAAGGTCTCCTCTGACCCTGCCCTTTTTTTGCCCCCTTTTGCTATAATCTGGGAGGATCGTAGCAGGAAATAACTTGTCATTCTTGAAAGGGGGCGGTAAGTGTTCAATGCTACCTGGCTACCTCTTCACTAAGCACATTTTCACAGCCAAGGGCACTGGATGTTTGGGTAGAGGATGTCAGACATCTCTGTAAACAGGGAATGAGGGAAGGTGCTGCACCCACAGCCATTTCAGATGATCAAAACTTGTTGCAGCTTCCCCAGTATGTTGCAGAATTTGCAGCCACCAGCATGGAAAATAGGGATGCTGCTGTTCACCCTCAATTTACGGAGCAGTTGGATACTTTTTTGGCATGGTCACGGGGAGTGGAAATGGTTAATGATGAGCTGGGCAACTGGTTGTTATATTGAAGGATTTTCTGATACTCACATTGTTCTTCCATTACATCTCTCTGCTCCCTTCCTCTGTACTTGGATGATTTGAAACAGTTGTGTGAACTGAGGATGACTGTATCATGGCTTTTTGAATGGTCATGTAAGGAGACCCTAGGAATGCTTACTGCTCTGTGATGGACTAAGTCAGTCTGAAACTCAAACCAGACAATGGCTGTGCTTAAAATTAGACTTGCAAGGAGGGGGCTGCTGAACCCTAAACACTGAACCATCATCTTCTATCAATGCAAACATGAAAGCACACGCAGTGCTGTAGTACTTGGTATGCAATTGTAGACTGCCAGGGAGGATTTGTCTCTTAAGAATCATGCTGTCAGCTGGAAATCTTTCTGGAATAACCTTAAGCAGATAAGAATTTATAAACTGGAGCCAGAAGGGACACTGCCACTTAAACCATTATCTGTGGCTTATGTGAGATTTTGAAGATGCTCTGCATGCATCACCTGATTTTTCTTTTTGGGGAATGGGGGTGGGTGTTTGTTAATGTCAGTTTGTTTCTTTCTTTCTTCATTTCATTTACGTTGTAATTACATTTCTACCTGTGCTGGGGAAGCAAGCAGAAATGTTCTCGAGACTGTAATGTAGCAGAACACTGAAATACTTCTGATTTAGAGTAAATAGTTAACAACACATTGCCTTTGTTGTAAAACCCAAGCAACTGCCAGGGACAATATGTGCCTTTTCTGTCTTTTTTTGAACCCGGGCTGCCTCAGGTCCTACATTTAAATGCAGAATAAACAAGTCTGATTGCATCTGACAGGTTCCTGTAGACTGGTCTGGAGGCATAGCAGCAAAAGTATGAATGTCACACAGTTTTGTTACATATCTGCCATTTAACAGTTTGTAAAGCGTATTTTAATGGAAGGTCCCCAGTTCTTCCCTCAGTATCTGGCCCAGTGTTAGGGATATTGAACTTTGATAATTTGGCCACCATCTAGTATTTTCCTCCTGTGGCGAGACCTCTTCCTAACCTGGTGCCGGGGTGATTGAGGTTCATTCTTGCTGAAGGATATGCTATGATTGCATTAAGCCTCCTGAGTGGTCTGGGGACTCTGAAGTCAGTCCCCAAACCTTACAAGTTTATCTCTGCTGTACAAGAAATAAGACCTCCACACACAGTAGAACTGTTGCCCACATGTACTGGCAAATTTTATGCTTTTCTGTTAGTCGGGCTAAAAATGGTCACCTTTAGATAAATATATCTTTTGAAGACCACATGATACTTTTGATGGCATTGAAGGCATGACACAGAAATATCACTGAAGACTGGCATGGCTGGCAGAACACTTGCTTTGTTTTTGATGGTGAGGGGAAGAAGGAAAGCATCCAACTTGATTCTCAGGCTTCAGCTGCAGTTTTAAAACCAGGTAACTGAAATAGGCAGGTCTTTACTGAAGGTGCCAGCAACAGTGAACCTGGAACCCCAGGAAGATGATTTTAGAGTTGCTTTCAGAGTAGGACAGTACTTCAAAATCTGATTAAGTCCAGCCCTTTATAAAAGGACTTTACATTGCTGTTCACTAGGGACTGCTAGACATGAGCACTTTGGAATTACCTAATCTGGAACTCATGGCTAGTGGCTGGCAGGAGGTTGTCACTTTGTGCTAACTCGATGGGGAGGTTGAGGTGAGATTAATTCCAGCATTCCTGTGAGTATTTCAGTATTTCATACACGTGGCTATTTCTCTGGGGTGGTGGACAGTGATGTACTTTCCTCATGCTGAGCAAAAGATAATGATTATCTGGTAACAATCTCCGTAATGATGCCAGCAGATAAACTCCAGGTATTTTTGCTGTCTACCCTCTGTGAAATATGGTTTGCAATAACTATCAAACAAGGTGCGTATGGCTATTTGGAGTGGATCTGAGTGGGGAAACTCCAGCTGTATCTAATCTTCTGGATTCTGAGTTGAAAAGATCAACCTTTACATCAGTGGCTCCGTATACTGCTCATTTACTAGTGCAGGGCAGTCTGGCTTGAACTGTCCCAACCAAGGAGACATCTACTATTTCTCAATACATATATCTCCAGTTCAACCCATCTTTGTGCCCTAGGATTCTTCCAAAATAGTCTATTCAATCTCATTTCTTAATGTTCCTTTTTAATTCTGGTGTAGCTCAGTAAATTACCCTCCTTTCCTAGTGTTACATCTTGCAAATCTCTGTGGCTATTGCATTTCTTTCTTCGCTACTCCTCAGCTTTGCAGGATAAGTTTAACTCTCTGTACTGTGATGTGTGGACTGTGTAACCTGTTAAGGCTGTTGTGTAGCGCTCAGATTTGCTGGTCCAGGGTGCTAGAAATGCAGGTTTTGCTAGCTCTTGGGCCAGAGGTGAGGCACAGGACCTGAATGCCATCTGCCACGCACCATGGGCAAGCAGCTCTTCATTCTCACTTGTCTCCATGTCCTCAGCTTCAAGAAGGCTTAGCCATTTATGCAGACAGCAGATCAATATGACATTGTGAAAGCTAAGGAGTATTAACGTCTCCTCTCTTAAGTCCTTTCCTCCAGCCTCCTACTCAGGTTTGCTTCAATTTCCTGAGGCCTATCTTGCCCTGGAAGGTAAACTTCCATGGTGAGTGACAGCAAGCAGGATTTCTTCCTGTTGGTTTTCTTGTGGGTTAATACACCTGTGATATTTATGCAAAAGAATGCATGCACTATATTATACAGAGAGCCCGAGCTAGTCAGAGATCCTCTTTTCATCAGTGGCTGATTACTCATAGGTTATTCTTTATTATTTGTATTACAGTGGCATCTGGAGGCTCCCATTGAGATCTGAGTTGTGTTGTGTAAGTCCATGGTCCCCTGTACTTACTGCTCATTCATACAGATAGATCTTACTCACGTGCCTGGGTGATCTCTGTAGGATGATTTGGGGTTTATAATTCCAGAGTATCTCATGAAGCAGACTGGCACCTTGGCAGGACAGTTCTTAGTCCTGTCTTTTGCTAGGAAACCTGGAGTCAGAGTCAGCAGTTATTTGCTGAAGGATGTGACTTACTTTCTGGCTGCAAGCTCCCAGAAACAGCCTGCTCTGCAACACTTTACTAAGGAGGCAGGGGCTTTGCTGCTTTTCCTGGCCCATAGGGGGTACCAGTCATGCTTATACAGTCTTTGCTTGCATTTTTGCAGTTGCTGTTTCAAACTTTATATCCCACTGACACATAAATACGTCAGACGTTTTCACTGGTATTTTATGAGCTTCTGAAATACATGCAGAAGATAGTAATCTGGCATCTGCTGCAGGCATTTTAATAATTGTATGTTGTTGATAGAAAAGACTACCCTGCTGCCAGCTCCATTTTGTGCACTCTCTAGATAAAACTAAGTGGGGAGTAAAAGGACATCAGCAGCTGATTTTCATGGGGATTAGAAGTTGGGGTGCAAGCAGCACACCAGGGGGTGGTGCCAGTAGTAATGCTGTGAGAGAGCCTCAGCTCCCATTGCTGTCATAACTGGTTCTTCTTTGAAGTACTATTTCATTTTCTCCCAGCCCTACAGACTCAGAAGTTTCATTGTTCAAGGCTTTGAAGGATGCCTCCTGCTTCCTGTCCTTCTGCTTTCATTTTGTCCTGGCTCGTGCTTGTTTCCCTCTGACCTGTCAGTGTGGCTGGGTTGTAGGTATAAAGTTTTTCCTGCCTGAGATCCTCAGGTTATATGACCTTTTCCCAAGCACCAGATTTTTCTCCAAGCTGTTGAACTTTGATTTATTGTGTTTAAACTGCCTACAATTCCTCAGTCCTCGAAACACAGCAATTTATCAATCCTACTTTTCCTTTCCCATCGTCTTTTTCATAAGGTGCTGAAGGCTGTTGGTGGAGCAGGTAATGCTGCACATT